AAAGGGAATTTACGTCAAAGCAATGAGCATTACTGAATGCGTACTCTGCATGTTTGCCAAGAAAATATCTAAAAAAGACAATTGCTCTTTTGCAATTTCAAATTATAGTTTGGTCACACTAATTTTAATTACAGCAATGGATAGGATTAAAAACTACTTGAATTCATTTTACTGTTGTTGAATATAGAGGATTTGAAACTACAGTTCTGAATTAAAGAGTTTATGATAGCATATTTGTCATAACATATTCACCCTTTCTCAAACTCCATAATGATTTGCTATGTTGGAATCCCTCTTGTAACCTGATTTCAAATTAAGTATGTACAATGAATGTTTATGTTTCTCTCACTTAAAACCTGGATGACTTGATATTACATTTTTTGACAATCATAGGAAAAAAATTATAATATTCTTCTTAGTTTGATTTCTTTTTAGCAATAATAGTAACAAATGTTAAATTTGATTAGTGTTTTGAAGTTGACAATAAGCTTTCCCTTATATCTTCATTTAATAAATTATTTATACTAATAGTAAAGGTGTGTTAATCAATGAAAGAGAATTAAAAAGGATGAAAGCAAACATTTATTGAACATTTTATTAAAATTAGATATTTTATTAGTTTCTTTTTGTATATATGTCTGTTCCCATGACAAAAATTCCCTGAATAATAATGAATTTAATATTCCTTGATCTTTATTCTCTTTCTTATTTCCTCAGTGATTGATGGCATCATTTACAAGATGGCTGACTAGGGGCAAGGGGAGGCTCCTGAATCTATGATTACCACATCAATGTCAGAGCAACACCAGTCAATCTAAAACACTATTTAGAAGCATATAAAGAAAGTTTTCTAATCAGAAAACTGAATGTTCCATGGTTAAAATTCTAGGTTTTAAAGCTAGCTAGCTATCTAGGGGCTTCATAAATGACATTCAGCAAAAACAAACAATACTTTTTTTATTCACACTTTATTCTAAATAAAGATTTCAAAATAACCCCAATTTATTTAGAATGAGTTGTATGAGTATTATATAAGAAGATACGAATTGAGTTTTCTATCTGTAATTAATAAAAATATATTAACTTTTAAGTATATGGACTCATTAAACAATGACATGGAACAGAGCTCAGCCATAAGGAAAAGAACTAGCACACTAAAAGGTTGATCAATGGAAACTGGTAGAAAAGTTAAGCAAACATACAACTTTGCTAACTGATTTAATTGTTAAGCTAATTAAGACCATATTATTTACTACTCTTCATGGGTTTAGAATAACATGTTAAGAATAAAATGAAAAAAATTAAATTTTCTCACTTCTTCATATTTTTCCATAAGTACCTAGAGCTTTGATATAGTTAGGAGCTGGAGGAAAACTTATATTAAAAACCCAAATGACAAACAAAAGGGCATAATTCGCACGTCCAAATTTAGCAAATACTGTAAGGAGTCAATATTGCAATTGACCAACTGTGCAATGTGGCCAACATACTTTCCCAAAGTAGCACAGTAAGCTGAGAGCCAAAATATTTTGTCAAGAATTAGTGCAAAGTTAAAGATAGTATAAGGGTTATTTGATCAGTCAGTAAATTAAAGAAATTGTTACATTAAAAAGTTTGAATTTGTTACTCTAACAATTGTGTGTGTGAGTGTGTTTTTGGCAGGCACATATTAGCACAAGAGCAGAATTCAAAACGTGTTTTTATTAAAATAATTCCTCATACATTTTCCAAAATATATTTCCTATGTGTTTAGATTTTAATATGTTAATAAGATTGTACAGTGAAAGTAAATAGAGAACACTCAATTGAAAAATCATTCTGGAAATAATTTGCTTGGAGCTGTAACCATGTGCGACATTAGAGAATACACTGCAAGGGTTGCAGTTAAGTTATGGGACTGTGGAGAGCACTGCTCTCACTGAAAAGATGGGCTTGGATAGAGCACCAAAGAAACTTCCAATAGCCTGGGTGTCTATATCTAGAGGAGCAGGTGAAAAGATTCTCCTTCCAAGCTTAAGTGTAGGCGTAGCCATGTCATTCCTAAAAGAAAAAAATCACTTTTTAGTATTTTGCAGTTAAAAAAAAATTCATTAAAATATGTTCAATGTTCTCCTCCCTGAAAAAATAGTGATGAATCATTTAAGATGAAACAACTTTGGCAGGTTCCATTTTAATCCTGGTTGAAGTAAAACACAGTAAGTGTTTTTCTGGCTTATGTTTGTCATCAATTTATTGTTTTTTTCTAATCGTTGATACTTCAATTTCATCTAGAGATCTTAGTAAGGTGACATCGATCTGTGCTTTGTATTTGCTAAATAGATACAGAGTTTTCAGCATGGAAAAAATTTCTTTGTGTGTGTGTGTGTGTGTGTGTGTGCACGCCATTTTTTTGTAGCAGAGAGGACAGCTGAGATTTTAAAATATTATCTTCTCTTTGCACCATAAATACAGCTCTGTTTGACTTCTATCAATTCTTAGAATTCTTTAAGGGAGAGAAATTATGCCCAATGGTTCTACTTGGCATATAAAATAGATATTGTTTATTGTTACATGTATAAGTCTGTTTTCATTAAACTTAAGAGATATTATTTAAAATATTGAACCCTTAAAACCCAAACTCAATCTATGCAGATACAAATAAGTTAATTGGGGGAATGGGGTTTAAAATGTTATTATTATTATATTTAAGTTTGAATGTATTGACAGAGAAAAGGGCAATATTAGGCTTGACAACAGATCCTCTAAATTTAAACATGAAAAGAACCTCTTAAATTTTTGTTGAAAAATGCACACTGTAAATAACAGTGAATGAGTGAGTTCGAGAAAGAGAAAAGAAAGGGGAAACTTCTAAGACCTCATGCCCTCTTGTCTGTAAACAAGACTGTAAACATTTTCTCATCTATTTTTCTGGTTCTAGATCATCAGTATTCTAGTGCGTATCACTATGCTGAGTGCTGAAGTGTCTCACACTAACTCCCAAGGCTTTCTTCATCTGGCTCCCATCTCTTCAGATTTGATTAATTTTACTTCATCAATATAAATTGTCAACTACTTTTAGGCTGGACACTTCTCAAGAGGGCTGCAGCCAGTCCTGTTCTCTGTCCTCATGTGTCTACAGTTTCATGCATTTTTCAAAGCCTAGTGTAAGCCCTACCTCTTTCAAAGCTCTTCCAGCAGTTCTCGTCTATGAACAGCTCACTTGTATAAAACCTTCGGGAAGCATCAAGTTTTCTGAGATAGTTAAAATCACAGATAACATTCTCCTCTACAGGATAAAACGCAGTATACCTATGAATAAATTCTGATTTTACCTTTTCTCATACTCACTCATGTATTCCTCCACATAATCTGTACTTTTACACCAGAAACTGTTCTTTCCGAATATACATTTTCCTCCTCTATGTTTTGATTTATGTCATTTCCCTCAGAGTGTGGGAATAGTAAGCTAATGTTTCTTGAAGCTTTAATGTGTACCAAGTACTTTGTTAAAGATTTTCCTAAAATTTGTCATTTAGCTTCACAACTAAGGTTTAAATCCATACTATTACTTTTCCAAATAACAGATGAGAAAATTCAGACAAAATGAGGTAAAATTACTTACCTTCTAAGTTTCCCATCCATTTCTCAAAAGCAATATATCTCCCCCCTTGAGGATCACTTCAGAACCAGCAAATGATATGAGGGGCAATGTCAATGGAGCATATTTGATGAATATGGTGTTGAGATTCTAATGATGTAAATCCTTTTGGAACACCCATTATTTTTTTCTTGTTGCATCAAGTATTGATAACATCTTTTAAAGTTCAGTTTGTACGTAACCCCCCTCAGTCCTTCTGGTGATATTTGGGGCTCAGTGCTCTGCAGCACAACAGTCTCCAATACTGCCTTTCTACCTAAAGTGAGGTCCGTGACCAGCATGAGCGGCATCACCTAGATTTCCTTAGAAATGCAGACCTTGCCTACATTCTGAAACTAATGAGTCAAAATTTCCACTTTAATGACAGTGCACAACAGATGATTCATAAGCATTGTAGAGTTTGAGAAGGAAAGTTTATTTCTCTGATAAGATAATAAATTTTTATTATCCATTTTTTGCATTTAGTTATTCATAATTACTTATTATTCCTATTTTTCTGATGTTTACCAACACGGAGGGCCAGTATGTTATTTATATTTTTCTCACCCAAAATGACTCTCATAATACTTCCCATATGGTTGCTACTGGATACATCTTTATTAAATGTACTTATTAAACTGAGAGCAAATTCCATGGAAGTCATACCTTTATATATCCTATAACTCTCAGAACCAATGACCTTGGCTAAAAAGTTCTGGGAATGTAGTTATCATATCTTTCTGGTTTTTATTGTGCCTACCTGGTATACAAAAGGTACTTCAGATGAAGTGAGGCACTGAATAAATTAATTAAGATAATTGATTAGTGTATTAAAGAGATTTTATTTTGAATTAATTTTGTTAATAAATATAAGTGTCAAGGAATGGCATAACTTCTTTACAGATATTAACTTATTCACATTGTGAACTAAGATTGTATAGTAGAGCATAAATCTAGTTAAATCAATAAAGGTTGATTTGAGTTAGATTCCTCATTCTATTCTAATGTATGGTATTGCACATCCACTTCAAGTCGCTTGTTACAGATGACTAATGTGCCACAGTTGATATAAAATGTCAGTATTTAAGGAATTTTCAAATTTTTTCTTTATTATTTTAAATTCTCTTAAATGAATTGAAAATAAATATTGTAGTAAACGGTACCACTCCTGCTTGTTATTAAAATAGAATATCAACATACATCAGCAGAAACACACATTCCATTTCTGAAGAAAAATACCTTGACAAATTCAGTCAGATTTAAGATTATAGTATAAATACACATATATGCATATATACACACATGTATGTATATATACACACAGGCACACAAAATATGTTTTCATGCATTGATCATGAATGTCCATGTGATTTTATATTCCAAGGGAGGAAAGATTCCAATCCGGTGGACATCACCAGAAGCTATAGCCTACCGCAAATTCACATCAGCCAGCGATGTATGGAGTTACGGGATTGTTCTCTGGGAGGTGATGTCCTATGGAGAGAGACCATACTGGGAGATGTCCAATCAAGATGTAAGTATTTGTAGTCTATGAGTCAGGGATTCAGATTAAGAGATCAAGCTGTGCGAGGAAGCAGAGCATAATGAAACCAGGTGGCTCCCACTGAAATAGAAAACTTAAAAAATGAAATTGTTTCCAAATCTTGCAAGAATATTAATTGAGTTGTTCTTAGGGCTTTATAGTTTTCCTTTAAGCAGGGGTTTAGAACTGAGACAAAAATGAAGACATTTATATTGAAATGTAATGAAATAAATGACTAACAAGATAACCAGTATATATTAAGGAGTGTTTTAAATATTTTTGCTGCACAATTGTTTCTATGTAACATTAGTAAGATATACATGTCTGATATCATTTGTAGATTTAATTAATGCATATGTGCCAACATTTTGTTTACTTAAATATAGTATTTCCCAAATCAGACAAAACAACCAATCCATAATATGTTGTTTCTCATAATGTACTAATGTTGCACATGAATTTAGTCATACAAATTGAAGTATCTGATGAAAATAATAATCTTTAACTCTCTTATAACTGTGATATGATTTTTCAAAAGGATTTTTGTTTTTATAAGTCATGTTTTGCTAACGCTTAGTAAAAGGATGCTTTTGGCACATGGGATCAGCACTCGGAGATTTTTCTTTATGCTTAGCCAGAAACTGTGAGCATGATCTCAAGATACATAGGAAGGAAAGCTGAGATGCTTTTAGTCATTTCCTACTTACCACATATAAAATTGCTTTTAATGTATTTGGGTATAAAAACCTTTTTGTAGTTCTTCAAACAAGCTATTTTTTATAACGGTAATGGGAAAATCAGACTCTCTTTTTCACATCTCTATTTTCAAAATTTTCTCTCTATCAAAGGACCCCAAAATGTCTCTGAACCAACAGCTTTAGCATAGTCTGGGAATTTGTAGTTATGCATGTTCTCTGGCCTTACTCCACAGTGACAGAATCAGGGGTTAGTTGTCTATATATTAATAAGTTCTCTAGATGATTCTTTTTAAAATATTTTATGTATTTATTTTTAGAGAGAAGGGAAGGGAGGGAGAAGGAGATAGAGAGAAACATGTATGTGAGCGAGAACCATCAATTAGTTGCCTCTTGCACGCGACTCTCTCTTTGCAGGGTGATGCCCAACCAACTGAGCCACAGCAGTCTGGGCTCCAGATGATTCTGATACATAACAAAATATAAAATCACTGGTTTATGTGATTTAAAAACACTAATAAATTTATAATTACTTAATTGTGCAACACATGAGCTTTTACCAAAAGACCCAACTATGATTTGAAAGGTAACCTTTTGAACTGTGTTATAAATCAAATCTGTAAACTGTTTTTTTCTGCATTCATTCATATATATTTTCCATAGAAATTTGGATTTCCGAATACAATTTTCTTTATAATCAACTGACTTTTCTGTCATAGAACATTTTTTTAAAAAATTTTAATCTGAAAAGTATCTTTACAAATTCTTCTAAATTTATTTTCTCTCTCTTGACCTTCCTTTATACACATTTCTGGGCATTAATAATTTCTTATGTATTTGATATGCTGTCATTTTTTTAAGCCATTTAAAATGAGAACTTTCTACTTATCTTTAAAATATTCATATCAGTGTGCTCTGTCCATGAAGAAGTAAAAGAAGTCCCACCTTTTAAGTCCTTGGAAACTTTGATCCTTGCACAGGTAATTAAAGCTGTGGATGAGGGCTATCGCCTGCCACCCCCCATGGACTGCCCAGCTGCACTGTATCAACTGATGCTGGACTGCTGGCAGAAAGACAGAAACAACAGACCCAAGTTTGAGCAGATTGTCAGCATCCTGGACAAGCTCATCCGGAACCCGGGTAGTCTGAAGATCATCACCAGTGCGGCAGCAAGGTGACACATTAGAGTTTGCATCCTGCACTCACTCTGAAAGGAATGTATTTTCTATCTCCAAGTTGTTAAGTTTTTGCTCCCACTTCCTGAACTACATTCTTTGATATTTATGTTCCTCGAGTCTGAAGAGACATATGTTTTTGTCTCCTTTTTAATCTTTCAGGAAGAAATCTCATGCTACTTAATGATAATGATGAAATTCCATTACTTTTCATTTCATCCTGAATGGAAGTGAGTCTACATTCAGGCTTGTTGAAGTCTTTGGAAAAATAGGAACCCAGGAACATATAGCGTCTTTTCACTCTCAACTATATAAACAACAAAAAGAGGAAACAAAGAAAAACTCCTGGAGTGGTGAAGAATTCAAAATACTTCCAAAACATTGCATTGGCTAGCAGAACCCCACTTAATTAAACAAATATTTGTTCAACCCGTATTGTATGTCAATTACATTGTTAGCATCTGTCAAGGGTAAAACTAAGTAAAATAACGCCAGCTTCCCAAGAGAGCAACACAACATCAATGCACCACAGCTGTACTGCAATGCAGAATGCATGATGTCTATTAGATTGTATGCATATTCTTCCCAGTTAAGAATCACTGGGTTTTCTTAAGAGTTTCAAAGAATGAAAATTAAAGTATACCTACAAAGTGCAGTAGAAGAAATAGGTAAGGAGAGATTATTTTGTCAGGGCCATATGTAAGAATGTAAGTGTTAATATATTTGATGTTTCTGAGAAACTAAAGACAAAGCTAACTATCTGGTTTAATAATTTGTTTTCTCATTGCATACATAAAATGTAAAAGAAAAATGGTTCTTTTACATATGATGACATTTGAATGAATGGTAAAATTACAGCTTTAGTAAAATAACCTACACTTAATTTGTATACAAATCTGCACTATTAAGTGATATGTATAAATATTGAGTAATGATGATACACTATAGTGCATAGGTAAAAGTGTAATATTGTGCCTTATTGGAAGATTTCTTTTCTTTTGTCTTTTTGAACATCTACTCTTTTTACTGACCAACATTGGCAGTTATGATTTGCATACTGATGGAACACTTACTAATATAATTTATGATAAAATATATGACTTTTTACACAAACAGGTATAATCGTATTGAATATTCATGATCCCATTTTACATTGCATTTAAATAAGATGAATAAGGGAGAATTTAAATCAAAGTCTTAATATCAGTATACAAATTTCATAGATTATTTTTTAGAAATAATATTTAGAAGTTATTAAGACTGAAACTAATGATATTCTTTAGATAAAACTACTTCCAACTTATCATGTAGTGATGAATTTTTGTTCTAAGTTTCAAAGAGAGAGACTACACAGACATGAAAATTTACCTGACAATTTAACAACTAACAGGACAAGAAACTTGTCCTTTCCTGGGCCATGTGGTCCTCATTTTGTATCCTGAAGTTATTTCTTTTCATCTTTCCCTATAGCAATCACAGCAAAAAAGGACATCTTTTCAGTTCTTTCCATATCATGAAAAGACATTTAAAACCATTTCCACAGGATGGTATTAGCCATATAAAGGCTAATTCACGTAATATGATTTAGAGATATTTAACTTAATTTTATGTGGGAAATTGTATTAATAGGAGATCATAGTATGTTAGGGTGTGTCTTAGCATCCCAATTTTAACACATTTCTTAAATTCACTTTTCCATTCTTATTGAAATACCTTTTCTCCTAGTGTACATCATTTAAGACCTGAATAAATTCTATATATTTTATCACAGCACATGTAATATTAGGGAAAAAAATAAGTGTTTTTCTAAAATACACCATCCATTTCGATTGAAAATTATTTTTATATGCTTACTAATTGTCATTGAAATACAAAACAGGGAAGATTGTATCATTATGAATTCATTAGCAATAACCTGAAATGGTCATACAATAATATCAAATCTTTTTTTTTATTTTAGAAAGTTTGCTTTTCCACCTTTGACAAAGATTATTTCATCCTTTTTTTATAACTGATTAAGCTCATTGTGTTTTAGCTTTAATTTGCCAGTGATGCTTTTGCCACATACTTTGTTGAGAAAATACAAGATATCAGATGAGAAATTCTGGCAGAAAAAAAAACAAACAAATAAAAACTTACTGGGGTCTGCAAATGTCCACTCACCCATCTTGTCTTTCCTTCTTATAATTAAAAGAGAGGAAGTGTGTCAGAGGCAAATTCTCTCCTCCGCCCTCCATGTCCAGGCTATTTCTTTCTGCAGTTTCACTGTCATACCAATATGTTCCATTGCACTGTTTCTCAAATTCTTCCGGTGATATGAATCACCTGGGAAACTTATTAAACATCCAACTACCCACATCCATCCCAAGCTACTATTTCAGAATCTCTAGGGAAAGGGACTGAGCGAACTTATCTAAGTCTCATACACATCTCAAAATTAATATCCTGAATGTTTTTACTTTCTCCAGATAACCTCATTGCTCCACTGCCTTCCTCATTTAGTTGAGTTCACCAGCACCTATTCATTTACCCATCAGGATTAAAGCAAATCTTGGAGCCTTTTTATTCCCCTTTACACTTTGATCCTGGTGGTCATTGGATCAACACAGCCAATCTACAAACACTCTCTTTCTACTATAAGCACTCTCTTTCTACTACAAACACTCCCTTTCCACTCTAAACACTCTCTTTCCACTATACTCTTTTCTATACACACATACATTTTTTCTCCTCTGAAATAGACCACTGCAATAGCATTCTAATGTGTCCCTGCTACCATTCTTGCCCTTTTCCAAGCATCTTTTCATATAACCTTCAGAATTTCTTTTGCTCATCTATTCATAACCAATCTTGATTTGCCATTATGCTCAGGAAAAAATCTAGACTCCCTTTGATGATTTAAATTTAAAGCCATGCTTCTCCAATATCATTTCTTTCATTCAAATGTTTATGTATTCATTTTTCAATGACTATTGCAGACCAATCTACTGTGTGCTAGCCATGGATAGAAGCTAGAGAACAGTTAAGAACACAAATATGGTCCCTGCCCTCCTAGAGCTTACATGATAGAAGATGTATAATACACAATAGGCAAGTACAGTTTAGAGGAAGAAAATAAATAGATACTTGTGATAGATAAGGGTGGTTGGAAAGAGCCCTTTGAGGAGTAGATAGTGAGTTCAGATCTTAAGAAAGGAAAAGAATCACATGTTTAAAGAACCCCAATCACTCTCACTTACCCCAAACCCCCTGAAAAGTAATCTTGGCATAGGAATATCAACTGCAAATGAATTTGGAGAGCTCTAGGAAGTGGCAGAATGATAGCATGACTGAAGAGTGGTAGGGAAAGGCAGAGTTACTCAAATGAGCCTATGAAGGTAGACAGAAGCAGGAGCACTTGAGACTGCCCAGGCCATAGTAAGGACTTTGGAATTTGAAATGTGTGAGGAATCCATTAAGGCATTTAAAGCAGAGAAGTGACATGATTTGACTTATGCAACTGCTTGTGGAGGGAGGGACAAAGTGCAAGGACAGGGCTATTTCAACCTTTCAGCCCACGTCACTTTCACTTAAACATTACTGAAGCCACGGTGACCAACATCTAGTTCCTTTAAGAAGATGACGTATTTTAGATATGAAGACAGTAGCAAATGCTGTTTTCTTGGCTTAAATTCTCCTTTGTGTTCTTCTTTCATTCAGGCCACAGCTTCTATGTCTTATGTTAGTTGAGGCTTTCTCTGGCGACACAATTTAGAGCTTAATACAATTATTTTTTTACCGGGCATCATATTTTTTGTGTGTGTGCTTGTTAAGTATTCATTTCCCCAATAAACTCTAAGCCCTCTGAGATCAGATACCACACTTCTCTTGTATTACCAGTGCCAGGTTGATAGTGGAAACTCAGTATCTGTTAAGAACATGAGTAAATATTTGCTAAAATAATAGTGATTTTCCATTTCAGCAGAACCACTATTTTTAGAAAAATATTCTAGTTTTTTTTTTCTATTCATTATACAGATTCCAACAGACCTTAGTCATGAAGTAAAAATGCTTACCATTCCTCCTCAGCTAAATTACATGTCAGTGTGCCTTTCTGTCAACTCAGTTCCAGAAACACCGCTCAAAACACACTTGGCAACTGTCCAAATCTGAGTTTGTGGATGGCACTAAGGATTTAAATTATGAATGCCTTAGTTAGTTGTATCAGTCTGTAGAATTATGCCTAAAAACAACCTTCAGCAAAAACAGTATTAGTTTAGCATTTTTATAGGGGTGATGTTCCCGGAGTCTCCCTGAATATAGTTAGTTTTATGGTAAAGCTTATTTCATATACTAATAGAGAAATCGTTCTATGTGTATAGTTTTACTTTTCAATTATCATAAGAGTTGGTGATTCCTAACAGAATCATTCCCAAAGAATCTTCCACTGAGAGTGTCTTCATAAACATTAGTGCTGAATGAGTAAAGGTGTATAAATAAAGGATCAGAGTATACCAGATCAAAAACATAACTTAGATGCTCCAGAATTGGCGAGAAAAGAAAGGAAGTTACATTAAATGTTGTTATGTTCACTTTTAAGTAATTGATTTATTTTGCAAAAAGTAGAGAATTGGTGAATACATGTATAATTTTCAAATTTTTGTTATACATCAATATGAAGCTGCAAGTGTTTATTCCATGGTATTTTGTGCAAGACATTGTGCTAGGGCCTGTGGTAAAAATATAGATACAGCATTCAACCTCCTCCCTCAACTGCTTGCATTTAAATATGGGAATAAAATACATCTTCAGAATTACTTTAGCACTCCCAGAATATGTAATTATTGGAGCTAGAACACAAGGTGTTCAGTAAGGTGAATTCAGAAAGTTTTACTGAAGTATTTAGGACATGGTGACTAGTGAGACGCACAGAAGACAGAAGTACCAGAGAGTGCTACTAGGTTCTGAACAAGGAGGACGTGAGGACGGTGCTCTTATGGACGGCAGGAGGGGGGGCAGG